TGATGATATTGCTGGGTTGAGCTGTGTTGATTCGGGTTATAGTCCGTTTGTGCTTAAGGGGTTAATTTCATTGACTGGTAAACCTGAAGATCAACGTGAGATTCAGATGTTGCGTGACACTGGTGCCGCACACTCATTTATGGTGGAAGATACTTTGCCTTTGTCTGAACAGTCATTTTGTGGCTCGAGTATTTTAGTTCAGGGAATCGAAATGGGTTTCGTAAAAGCACCGTTACATCGCGTTCATTTAAAAAGTGACCTTGTAACTGGTTTTGTGTCTGTTGGAGTACGTCCTTCACTGCCCATAAAAGGTGTTTCTTTTATTCTGGGTAATGATTTGGCCGGGGGTAAAGTGATGCCTGTGTTGGAAGTTATGGATCAGCCGAACTTCGTTTTCTGTGATGAGTTATCAGTGAGCTATCCTGATACCTTTCCTGCGTGCGTTTTGACGCGCGCTCAGGCAAAGAGAGTGCATGATGTCGTTGACTTATCCGAATCGTTTATGGTTCCCGTATCTGCTGAAAATGTGTTACCGTCGGAAAATACAAGTTTTTCAAGGGGGCACCTTAACGCGGACCTTTTGAGGTTAGACAATAGTACTTTGAGTGTGCCTATGTCCCGTGAACGGATTATTGTTGCACAGAAGGAGGATGAATCTTTAGCCAAATGTTTTGCCTCTGTAGTCTCTCCAGACCAGATCCGTCAGGAGAAGGTAATCTATTTTGTGGAAGATAATTTGTTGATGCGTAAATGGTGTCCAAATTCCGAAAATGAAAGTGAATGGAATGTAGTGTGTCAGATTGTCATTCCATCCTGTTATCGTCAGCACGTGTTGTGTTTGGCGCATGATCATGTGCTGTCAGGTCATCTGGGCATCACTAAGACTTATAATAGGATTTTGAAACATTTCTTCTGGCCTGGGTTAAAGCGGGATGTTGTGCGATTCTGTCGCACTTGTGATACCTGCCAGCGCATGGGGAAACCCAATCAAGTAATTCCCCCTGCTCCGCTCTGTCCTATTCCTGTGATGGGAGAACCCTTTGAACATGTAATTATCGACTGTGTTGGGCCATTACCAAAATCAAAGTCGGGTAATTTATTTTTGTTAACGATCATGTGCACAGCTACTCGATTTCCTGAGGCGATACCACTTCGAAAAATTACTGCTTCTGCTATCATCAAAGCACTGATTAAGTTTTTCGCTACGTTCGGGTTACCGAAAATCATACAAACAGATCAGGGAACGAACTTTATGTCCAAGATTTTTAATCAGGTCTTGCAATCACTTTCCATCACTCATAGCGTGGCAAGCGCATACCATCCAGAGAGTCAGGGTTCACTTGAACGATTTCATCAGACGCTTAAGTCAATGTTGGGGAAATACTGCAAGGACACTGGGAAAGATTGGGATGAGGGAGTTCCTTTGATGCTGTTTGCGGTTCGTGAGACTGTCCAGGAGTCGCTCGGATTCAGTCCCGCGGAGCTTGTCTTTGGACATAATGTTAGGGGTCCACTTAAGCTCTTAAAAGAAAACTTATTGGGAGTTGAAGTAAGTCCTAAGACTAATGTGCTGAATTATGTCAGTCGTTTCAGAGAGCGTTTGCATAACGCGTGGGCACAGGCCAAAGAGTCACTAACAGCCGCACAAAAGGATATGAAACGTCGGTATGACATCAAAGCCGTTCCTCGTTCTTTTAATGCCGGTGACCAAGTGCTCGTATTACTGCCCACTTCAGGATCAGCTTTGTCTGCCCGTTTCTCCGGTCCCTATGTGTTGACAAGGAAATTGAGTGAGACCGACTATGTAGTTTCTACTCCTGATAGGACACGCAAGACACGGGTCTGTCATATTAATATGTTGAAAGCATATCATGGTAGGGAGGGATCTTCGGAGAAAACTGAGGGAAAATCTGTACCTGTGGCTTCGTCTGTGGCAGTAGCCGTCGAGGTTTCATCTTCAGTAGAAACAGGGGCAGATGAAGATGGTCTCGTGCTGCGTAATGCTCCACAGCAGAGTACTAGACTAAGAAACTCAGAATTGTTGAAGACGTTGCCTTCTTATTTAGTGCATCTATCCGATGATCAGAGACAGGATGTTATTCAGTTGATTGAGAAATTTCCTACTCTTTTCAACGATACGCCTTCTAGAACTTCGGTGTTACAACACGATATAGATGTTAAAGATTCTCCCCCTATCAAACAACATGCTTACCGGGTTAATGCGTACAAGCGAGCTATCATGAGAGAAGAAGTTGACTATTTAACCGCAAATGATTTAGCTGTTCCTAGCTACAGTCCGTGGAGTTCGCCGTGTGTACTCGTTCCTAAATCAGATGGAACTTTCCGTTTTTGCACGGATTATCGGAAGGTGAACGCGGTTACGAGGCCAGATTGCTATCCCCTTCCTCGGATGGAGGATTGCATTGATAATATTGGTTCTGCACGCTTTGTTACTAAATTAGATCTACTAAAAGGCTATTGGCAAGTGCCTTTAACTAGTCGTGCATCGCAAATCTCCGCATTCGTGACACCTGATCACCTTATGGAATATAAAGTTATGGCGTTCGGTTTGCGGAACGCACCCGCAACCTTTCAAAGGTTGGTGAACTTAGTGTTGGCGGGGTGCCAAATTGTAATGCGTACTTGGATGATTTGGTCGTATACTCTTCAGAATGGTCAGAACATCTATCCTTGCTGCACACTGTCTTTGAACGACTGGAAAAAGCTACGTTAACCCTGAATCTAGCCAAATGCGAATTTGCCCGAGCAACGGTGACGTATCTTGGTAAGGAGGTTGGTCAGGGGCAGGTTCGACCTGTAGCCGCTAAGGTTTCTGCTATCAATGAATTCTCCATTCCCACAACCAGACGCGAATTACGCCGGTTTTTGGGAATGGCAGGATATTATCGTAGTTTTTGTCGAAACTTTTCCAGTGTGGTGCATCCACTCACGAGTCTACTGAGTCCGTCTAGAGCTTTTGTTTGGTCACCTGAGTGCCAACATTCGTTTGATAGTGTAAAAGCTTTGCTGTGTAGTACTCCTGTCTTGGCAGCTCCGGATTTTGCTTTGCCTTTTAAACTTGAGGTCGACGCAAGTGCTGTAGGTGCTGGTGCAGTACTCCTTCAAGAGGATAAAAACCACGTTGAACATCCTGTGTGTTATTTCTCTCGAAAATTTAATAAACATCAGTGTAATTATTCGACCATTGAGAAGGAGGCTCTGGCATTACTGTTGGCATTGCAATACTTTGAGGTTTACATCGGCTCTAGTCCTCTCCCGGTTATCGTTTACACGGACCATAATCCGTTAGTGTTTCTTTCCCGCATGTACAACCAGAATCAGCGACTCATGCGCTGGTCTCTGATTGTGCAAAATTATAATTTGGAAATCCGTCACAAGAAAGGAACAGAAAATGTTGTAGCCGATGCCCTTTCTAGGTGTGCTTAGTTCTTGACTTGGCTAGGTTCAGGTATGTATAAAAAAATAGGTGACCTGAGCCTACTTGTTTTTTTTGTTTTTTTTATTTGTCTTGATTGTAACAAACTAATCATTTCATCATTATAAGTTTGTTCTTATGGAGGGGGATGTTACGTTCCCGTATCGCGTGTGTGTTCTTGTGTTTTTCTTTCCCGCTTTCTCTCTCTCTCGGTTACTTTCACTTTTGTAGGTACCCGTGATTGGCCAATTGACCTGTCAATCATCGTTGGCGCTGACGTCACTTCTTTTCGCCATCGCCAATAGGAACAGGCCACCTGGGGAATAAGAGTGCACGCCAGACGTCTCCACGGAAGCTCTCGGCTCGCTGAGACTCAAACCACGCTGCTCTCTGTTACTGTTGCGCTGCTCCTTTGTATACCCTGTTGAGGTTATGGTTCTCGTTCACTCGGTGTGATGTTAAGTAGTATGAGTGAATGCTCCCTGTGTGACTCTCTGATTTTATGTGACCTGCTCTACAGAGCTCAGTAGGTTACTAGTATGGAGAAGAGATAGACAGATAGCATGTCACGTGACATACACTGCACCACGCAGGGGTTTTCGATTCTGTTTAGTACACTAGGGTAGGGGCGAGCGCCACACTTTGTATTTCTGCTTCTGTTAGTTAGTGGAGACTAGATAGGGCGTCCTGGACGCTGAAGATTATTATTTTCTTCTTTATTTTCTTAGTTAGGATTAGAGGTTATTTAACAGCTAGACTTCATTTGGTTTTGTTCTTTTCTTTTCTTTGGCGCCGTCCACGTCTATCTTTTCTTCTTATTAACTTTATCCACCTTACAGAAATTCTGTATAACATGTCCATTTTTACATTTATGTTAATCTATATTCGTATAGATTAAATTCTTTTCACTTTTGCCACTGACCTTATTTGTTAAATAAAGGTTTTGGCTTTTTGCACAGTAAATCTGGTTGTAGAGTGTTTTTTGTACAACTCATGGTTTATGTAGGTTTCTCTTTAATGTCATCTTTAAAATGTTGGACTCCCGAACCCCTGGACTAACTCGGGGGTCGTAACAGGTCAGGTCAGGTCACCTATTTTTTTATACATACCTGAACCTAGCCAAGTCAAGAACTAAGCACACCTTTAAACAATTGTTTTTAAATTCATTAAGTGTTGTATAACACGCAACTTAATTCCCCTATTACTTCACAAAACAAACAAACTATTCAACATCCTATAAAAACAGGTCAACATTTATTTAATTTATAACTTTAAAATATGCAATATGCATGCAAAAAAAGCATAAAACAGTGTATTTTGTATTCTTTTATATTGTATTTTTATTTACACATGGACATGAAATGATTTTTTTTTTAATTACTTAAAACAAATAAGTCATCAGGGCCCTTCATATCAAAATACAGTGTAACCTAAAGTGTTACTGAATTTCTTAAAGTTCAAAAACATCCTCTAAGTTTTGCTTCATTGCAATAACCATGTCTGCGGTGCATTTCTAAGAAACAGGTTCATTTTCACTCCTCCCTTTTTTACACTCAACAAAAACTCAGTCAAATGAGGATCTCACACACTTTCTGAACTCCAGCTCAGACTCAACAACACTCTTTCATTTCCACGAGCTCAACAACGGCACACAGGTAAATCTATACACTGTACAAATGTTAATAATACAGTTCAGATACTGAAGATCATCTTAATAATGCATCTACTGTCTTTAATATTCTCATTTTAGTCTGTTGCAACTAGTCTTTATGCATATTTACGTCAAGTTATGAATCTGTTGTCATCAAAAGAGCAGCTTTAAGGGCTTCCTGTGGTTTTCCATAATAATGTAAAATATTATTATTAATAATAATTAAGAAAAACAGTACTAAATATGAATGTGGCAATATTTCGCTGCAAAATAAGAGTTAAAAATATTATTATTATTATTAACTTTAGTCAGGGATATTCAGAAAAGCATGCAGCCGTGTCAGAAGTTGTTCATTCTGTGATTAATCGCTGAAGTGTCTGTCATTCTCTTGTTCTCAGGATGAGATCTGCGGTTTTCCTCGTTCTCCTCGTCTCTCTGATGTTCACTGATGGATTGGATGAATGTGTCATATACAGAAATGATCAGTGTGAAAAGATTAACAATTCTCCCTGCCTAGCAACTTTGAATAACAATGCTTATGCTCAGTTTAAACGCAAACATATTCTCTCAGATGTTTTCGATACAAACAGTCTAATGGATTGGTCAAACTACCTAATAAAGCAGAAACTTTGTGGCACTGACAGACCTTCTCAACAGTCCTTTGTCCACAACGAGAATAGCATTATAAATATCTGCAATGGAGGAGGCATCAGATTCAGAGACGGAGACACAAATTCATACAAAGACAACCTGTGCACCAGCAGAGCGACGTTCACAGTGTACATCGTCACAAAAATACAGCAGTGGAAGCCGTGTGTAGTTGTGGATGTAAAAGTGATTCAGAGCTATGTGGTTGTAGCTTGTGATGTCGTTGTTAACCAGTGTTTGCCTGTTCACTATCAGACACAAACTAACACACCGCCAGATCAAAATGATGAGACCTGCCAGCCGCCGACATATTGGCATCATGATTACATTGAGGTTGAAGAGCATTCGCCCTATAGGTAGACTTTAGTTGTGTTTAAAAGTGAAGTTAGTTGGAAATCATTCCTAGTTAATCTCGGATGTTTCACATAAGCGTCATTATCCAAGACGAATGCAAACATGTTCATAAGCTTCACTTCTATCGTCTAACATCACTTACAACTGATTATAGTCCTTTCAGCTCTGAGATTCTCGTTTATTTTTATGAACGCTTCATATAATCTGGTCATTCGTGAATCAGTGAATGTGGATTTGTTGTTCTTCTGTTTCTTCTGTTTGAGAAATTTTAGCTGTTTATTTCTGTTTTCAGTTCAAATGATGAATGTTAGCAATTGCTATGCTTTTCCATGTGTCATTTTGAGAACTTAACTATTTTTACAGCTGTTTTGTTTCCTTTAACACTTCAACTGTGTAAGGCATGTGTGTTGTTATGGTTTTACAAAACCAAATTTGTGGTGAAAATAAACCATCTTACTGTCTGTCAGCGCGAGTGTCTTACTGTTCATTCCCACATCATGGATCGACGGTCAGGTCAGTATAGTCGGTCTGTGCGTCTCACACACACACTGATCCTAAATTAAGTATTTCTTGACAAAATATTCTTAAAGTTTCTCACCACTAAGTTTCTTAGCCTGGCTGCGCCCTCCCACGCACTTCTGCTCAATTTCATTTTCCTTCAGTACTACGTCTAGGTTTTTGTAGGACCAATCAGCGAATAGAGGGAGTGGCTGAGAACGATGACGTTGATGTTGTGTAACCGGTGGCTCGCGACACCAGTTATAATAATACTTGTCTGCGTTGTGTAGATAACTGGACCACAGGCGGCGGTTTCACTGGTTTACTCTCTGATACACAAAACACATAGGACAGTCTCGAGTGAGACGCTCCTATATATCACTATAAAACAAATGTGACGTACATTTAGTCACCATGTGCTTTCATCTCCACGTATATGGATCAAAGTCAAAAATATAACACAATCAGGACAAAATCACTGAAATAACCATACAGGTATGTAGAGTAATGCAATATGCATACATTGAAGTGAAAATATAAACATAAAACCAATTATTAAAGTAAAGATTACACTCTAAAAAATGCTGGGTTGTTTTAACCCAATTTTGGGTCAAATATGGACAAACCCAAAATGTTGGGTTAAAAATGTAATGTAAAAATTTAACCCAACGGCTGGGTTAGTCCATATTTGACCCAAAGTTGGGTTAAAACAACCCAGCATTTTTTAGAGTGTACCTAAGATTTAAGAAGAGCCAAAAATAACTCACCTCCTCAGTGCATTAACAATGCTCAAGAGGAAGAGGTGGAGACAAAGCAGGAAATTTACAGACACATGATGACATCACAACAATTAAAGGGAAAAACACCCTTATTCTAGGACAAGTAGATATATGTGAAACCTTATTTGTGTAAATTATAACAACACATACATTTTAACAGAACACATTCTGTCCCTGTTACAGTTGCACGTCAGTTTGAGTTCAGTAATGGCAGCGGAGAAAGACGTGAGAAAAGCTGTTCGGTCCGTTATTGGAAATAAACAGAATTTAAAGCCGGAGTAAGAACACGGTTTGTTAAGTTTTGTTGGTGGTCATCCTCTTTATTTCAGGGTGAACACATTCAGAGTTTTCACTTCACCTCCTTTCTGAAGCAGGCCACCGCTCCAGTTATGTTTCTGGGTTAGAGATCGCAAATCCAAACCCAAACTGAGTTAAGTGACATGTATATGACGCAATAAAGCCCCTAATGAATTATAATTATTTATAATTCACAGAGTAAAGGCCATTATTTCTTTGACAGTTTTCAATCTGTTTGTATGTAATGTTTATTTTTAATAAATTCTAATTCATACAAATATGACTTTTGGGTTGTTATTATTATTATTTTTCATAATATTTACTGTTATGCTATGTAAGCAATCCACACTTCATTTGAGCCCTTAGTAGTTCTGTATATTTGACCGTGTGAGTGCAAATGCTGCAAATGCTATAGGCCCAACATTTAAATATTACAACATTTCCTTAAACTTACTAAAACATCTTTCTTTTAAAAAACCCTTCATTATTTGCATCAGAGGTCTCCTACAATAACATCTGACAGGTGAAACACGTTTTTTTTTTCTTCTTCTTTTTTTTTGGGGGGTTAACATGCACACAAACTTGCACTTTTTATTGACACTTTTTGTGTCTAGTGAAATCTACCTCAAAATAAGTAAATTTACTTGTCAAGTCCGAAGAACATTTTCTTATATTAAGAGTCTGGTGTGCAATGCATTTTATAAGACTTTTCTTTCATGGCAAAAAAAAAAAAAAGATGTATTTTCTAGTATTTTTTTCCCCTTAGATTTCAGTTTTTGCAGTGCATCATGTAACCTATTGTCCCATATTTGGTTGGTTTACATGTCTCTGTTCCATATTGTGTTTGATATTTCAGGTGAACACATCAGATTTTGTCTTTCCAGCGTTCTCGCTCTGCTTGTTTGTTCACAGCAGGGTTCAGATAACAGGGTTCACACTTATTCAAAAGAACCAGACTAACATTATTTTAAAGTTACAAGTTACAAATATGATTTCACCCGTTTTTGTCACTTCTAAGGTCTGGTATAAAGACGTTGCTCGTGTGGTTGCCCAATAGAGTAAAGTAATGAATAGTTAGAGGGAACAATGCTTTCAATAGAGAGTTTATTAATCAAATTTTCATTTATTATTTATTAAATGTCATTTTAAACACAGTATTACTTAATCAAATTACTTTAAAGTGATTACACAAAATGTGAGCTATATGAATAATTGAGTAATTGTTTCATATGTTTTTTGAAAACAACAAAAAGTGTATACATTTATATATATATATATATATATATATTTCCCCTGGGCACCCATACACCGCACCAAAAAAACAATAAAGCCTGAATCTAAAGCAACTGATACATGATTTAAAGATTAGAAGCAATCAAAGAACTTGTGCATCACATGTGCAATCTGGCTTGACATTACAGAGGAGATTCCTTGATCTCAACTTTGATATCAGTGTAAGTGATGCCTTTGTATCTGCCGCTGGTTCCATACCCAAACACAAGGCCGTTCTTGCAGGTGATCTTCACTGTGCCGGTGTACGGCAGGTCAAAAGTGGCTCTGCCAATGGTGATGGAAACCTGCAACTTCTTTCCTGGTGGCACATCTACATCTGTAGACAGAGTTTCGGTTGTCTCAACTGTGTTCTCCAGACTATAAGTGCTTTCATTTCCAATGGTGACACTGTATCCTACTTTAGCTTCAACAACCTCTGGAATCCCAGCCTTCACTTCCATACTAACCGTCGAAGTAAAACTCTCACTCATTGACCATGAAAATTTTTTGATCACTTTCTTTGAGCTTTCAACTTTTTGTTTTTGAGTGGTGGAGGAGTTGTTCATGAAAGTGAGGGATTTGATTTCTTCTACTGCCACCTTCGGTATCAGTTGGTGGATAGTGGGATAGTGGACATCGGTGAGAACTCTTGATTCTGCTTGGAGAAACATGAATCCCATGCAGTCGATGTCCCGACCAGATTTTCCTTCAACTCCCAAACAAAACCCAGAGCTGACATCAATCTTATATTCTGTTTTTAATGTCTGCTTTGTCATCTTTGCATTAAATTCTCTCCCCAGACTGGTCGTGAATTTGATGGCTCCAAGACGATTTCTTGCTTCGTTCGCCCACAGGGACAGTGAGGTGAAACACTCACCAGGTGCAAACTTGAACTGTATATGGTCTACCATCTGGTCTACCAAACGTTTGTTGTCTCCCATCTGAAAGCCCGACACTGACAGCCCTAATATATGTGTCTCCCATCCAGACTCTGATCTTCTCTAAACTGGCACCGTTGTTCTCACCAGTACATGAGAATGGATTACCTCCTTTTCCACCAATTACTTTAGTTGTTGTGCTGTTGGGCGAATCTGAAAATAATATAAATATACAATTTTACAATTTATAATTAAGTTCTCAGCGGTTAAGTTCTCACCGGTTAAGTTCTCACCAAATAAGAATGTTTTATCTCCATTTTCACCAATTTGCACAAGATCTGTTGTGGAGGACATCTTCAAATTAAAACTGTCTGAAAAAAAAAAATATTAAAGATCAGAATTAGCATCAACTTTACACTTTATTGCAGTGTTGAAAGCTGAAGCTTCAAAGCGCGTATTAAGTTCACAGCGCAATTTCTCATGAAACTCCGTGCCGGAGCACGTATTGTTTTCAGAGAAACACGTGATCAACGAAAAACGAAGCCCAACTTTCTTTCCAGTCATGTGAATGCTTCACTTCGTCTTTGTCTGAATGTTTGAACCCAGTCCACTAATCTACAGGTTTCTGGAAGTTTAAGTCCATTTACATTTATATATGTATAAGACTATAGCCTATATGTTACGTGATCATATATTCTGACACATAAATAGTATAGAAACAATAAAATAATTAGACCAACATTTACTTGCATCAAGCAACTTCGTATTTCTTTTTAAAGATTTATCATTTCTAAATGAAGTATAGCATTATTTACAAACTAGAAATGCAGGAGTTGTCAGTGGTTCATAAGATCACTTATAAAGTGTAAGTAAATGTAGTAAATTACAGTAAAATTGGGAAAATTTCAGAAATTCCAGAAAATTGGGTTGGATAATCTAATGCAAAGTATTAGAAACTGTTAGCTAACTACATCTTAAGTCAAGTGCCCTTGAGTGAAAGTATACTTACATGAATGACTGCAGTCTGAAAGTCTTCTCAAGAGCAGCTCGTCTGGTCAAAGCTGGAAAAGTGTGATGGGTTTAGAGAGTCTGCTGCTTAAATAGAGCTCTGAAGGGGACAGACAGTCCCTAAAACACACCCCGAGTGATTGATCAATATTTCCAGTGAAATCAGCTCCACCTCACAGAGTAGAGTGCCATATTAAAACTATCCACCCGAGGCATTGCAATCAGCAACCCCCACCTCACGAAGTAGCATGCCATAGACCTAAAACCATAAGAAATGCTGCTTGTAATAGAAACATTCTGATAAAAGGTCAGGTCTGAATGCAAATATGAATGCAAAACTATGTAAAAGTAGAAAAAAGTAGAATAGTTTTCTAATTGTCAACAGAGGTCAGCCTCACTAAACTATGAATCACTAACTATTACTCTAGTCCACAGGGAATATCACAGAAACTTTATATCTTAAGGTAAGGTGCCCAATCTTGCACCCACAAACACAAATACTCTTTATTACTGAAATATTGATGGATTTAAAAAGGGTTTGTTTTCTTACAAACGTGGCTATAATTATTTTCATATGGAAGTCCATGGTTATAACGATTCATAAGTATTCAGGTCATAACTACATCTCTGACGTTTTTAAGCAAGTTATGGTTATTTAAAAAAAAAATACACGCACCATTAAAACAAAACGGACGTCGACCTCCATTGGCCATCTAGCCTTTATTATGTATATC